TTCACACCAAGCGTTGGATGTCAGAGAAGAAAATGCCTATAGATAGACAGTCCAACAGAGTCTTGGGTAACATGGTTTAGTGGGAGGTGTCCCTGCCCATGGCAGGGGGTTGGAACTGGATGATCATAAGGTCCTTTCCAACCCAAACCATTCTGTGATTCTAGGACTTCTGCAGAGCAGGGCTCTCCTTGATGTGCATGATCCCACCTAGGTCACAGTTTCCAGGTTCACACATCATCCCTTCCAGGCGCTGTGGGCTTCATATTCGGCCTGTGGGATGGCACGTGAGCAGGGTCTGTGCCATGATTCATGGTCAGAGGTCTTCAGCACAGTGATTCAGGCATGGGTGGATGTGACAGTCTGGAAAAGTTTGATTGAAATAAGCAGGAATATCTGAATAAGTTTGCAAGGACTTTATGTAAGTACTTCCTCATGCTCAGTTGCTTTCTTTCTCAAGTCCTTTCCAAATTTTAAAGTGTAAAATGTGGTGAAGAAACAAAGTCCGACCCAGGTCTGCTGTATCTCTGCTTTGCCCTTCCTTCAGGGCAGAACTTCCCAAGGTGACCTGCACTAGAGACTGCACACAAACCTCTTGTTATTCCTTGTGTGTGAATGTTCTGCTGAAAACAAGTGAGACTTCCCCAGTCTGTAAAGTCAAGTCCATACACAAGCCTTTTGGAACTGGTGCTTACACACCTACATACCTTACCTAGAAGTCTAATAATCTCATCTATAAGTGCATTCATAATGACTGAGCATGACTGAGCAATGAGCTGCACAGTCCTTGGCAAAGGATTCCACTAGCTGGTAAATGTTGAAAACCAGGGTGTCTCGGTGATTTTCAGGCCTTGCTAGAATCACCCTGAAGTTAAGGCTTGGTTTTGTAGCCTACAGAAATAATTGTGGCAATATCTTCCAATAGAGATAAAAACTCACAATGTATTTAAGGAAATGTTTTAGAAACCGACACTTACCTCCCGAAAAACTTAACAAGAAGAAAACTAATCCTGCTAATTTTTACTCTCTGAGATGAGGGAATGAAAAAAAAAAAAAGACAGACAATAAATCACCAAAAAGTGGAAATAATCACATACTTGTTTCCAGTTAAAAGTCTTTTCATTTTTGCACCCTGGAGTGGTCTTAACCACCTGGGTAAGGAAATATATTAGCTTTCAACAGGGTCCAGTTGCTGGCATCTTCCTGTTTTGCTTCTCTTCTAAATACTTCGGTGTCATCCATCAGGTGTGTTTGTAGTAGGAACGCGTTTTGCACCGGTTTAAGCTACTTGAAAAGCAAATGAGGGTGGGTAGGTGCCTCGAAGGGTGGGCAAGCTCTTATCGCCTGTTTGGCTCCGTTCTGCCAATTCAGCATGACTGGTTTTCATTGTGTTTCTACACTCCAGTACAAGATAATTACCTTGTAAGACGAGTTTTTCTGCCCAGCTGAGCCTTCGGCAGTCCATCTCAATTTCCCATTCAGGAATATTCCCCCTCTCTCCCAGCTGGCATTTGTAATTTTCAAGATGAAAGCTCCTTGGGACAGTGATTATCCCACTCTAGAAGTGCTGGTACAGCATGAGACATGATAAGGTACAGATCCTGACTCGAGCTTCTGTGAACGATTTATTTATTTAATATGCTGTTCATTAAAAATGCATCTCCATGGTCTTTTTTTTGTTGATCCTTCAGTAACTTCTGTGATTGTGAATTAGAGCAACAAGACATTGTTTTTTTCTTTCTTCCTTGATGATAAAGATACCGAAGAATGGAGAACTGGGGC